AGGTTAGAACAAAATTTATTAAAAATCAGTTTAACAAGATAACAAAAATCCTACAAAAGTTCCAATCTCACACATTCTGGACTGTTTTTGGTCCGCAATTCCTTACGGCAGCCCCGTGCAAAGTTCGTGTCGTTGACACATTTTATCAAAGTGCGATGCTCCATCAAGTAGCACACGAAGTTTTTGTGCAGAATGCAGGCAGGGAACCCATAAAATTTGGATCAACTCCTTTGTCTCAGGCGGCTTTTCGCAACGATGCGCTTCTCACTCTGTTTTCTCCTGTCGTTTTTTTCTCGCTTTTTTTGTCGTTTCAAGTATTAACCCTTTGTCTAAGGGCACTACGAGCGGAATACTGGCGTTGATTTCTTTACACTCGTATCGGGGGTGTCGCTCACAGACTGACTGAAAATTTTCAATTACACGCGTGGTTCATAAATTTTTGTGCGCTGCGACTACAGATTATTTGAGGAAACGCCAATGCTTCGAATATATTTCAATGTACCAATATATACAGGATGTATAAAAAGTACCGGAACGGCGAAATATCTCCAAAACTAAACATTTTAGAAAAAAGATATTTCAGACAAAAGTTGTATGATTTCAAGAGGAACATAAAACAACTATATCATTTTGTTACACAAATGGCGCCACTTTTGAGATATTTACTTCATCAGATCATTATTTTTCTTAACCGGAAACTCCAATTTTTTATTACACCGTCTTTTTCTACCAATTAATTTAAGCAACTTTTTGTCTGAAACATCTTTTTATTCGCTTAATATTTTTTTAAATATTTAAGGAAAACTTGTTAACATTTTCAATATTTAACTCACGATATCTCGTTATTTGTCGGAAGAAAATGTGGTACTAAACTTTTTTGCTCTACTTGGTAGACTCAAGAATATATTGTTACAATAGCGCTCTGACTGTTGTTAATTTGATGATTTTGAAATTTCCAAAAGTCAGTAAGTTAACAAAAGTCAGGGCGTTATTATAATAATATATTCTTGAGACCAAGTAGAGTAAAAAGGTCTAGTATCACTTTCTCTTCCGACAAATAGTTAGCGAGATATCGTGAGTTAAATATTGAAAAAGGTATCAAGTTTTCCTTATATCTAAGAAATATCTAAGATATCTAAATATCTAAGAAAATATTAGGCAAATAAAAAAATGTTTCAGACAAAAGTTGTTTAAATTAATTGTTGGAAAAAGACGGTGTAATAAGAAATTAGGATTTCCATTTAAGAAAAGTAATGATCAGTGAATATCTCGAAAGTGGTGCCGTTTGCAAACAAAATAGTATAGTTGTTTTATGTTCCCCTTGAAATCATACAACTTTTGTCCGAAACATTTTTGCTGAAAATGCTTCGTTGAAGAATTATCGAAGTGCGTTTTTTAAAATGAGACTACCTGTATATATTCAACGTTTCAATATTTCAAATAATATCAGCAGAGTTGCATGTACAGCGCAAAACATAATTGTACGTATAAAAGTAAAACGCACGAGATATTATTGTCTCTAAGTCGCGTCTCTCCATAATAAACAGTCGCGGCGTACAAATATCGGAGACGCGTGTGTGATTGAAAATTCCTGATGGCCACGCATCCAGCAAGCGGCAGCGGATCAACACGCCGCTCTCTGTGTACTTTCGTTCTCGTGCTCGTTAAATAAGCTCGTAAACAAGCGCTCTTGCTCGCCGTGTTCCCGAAACACGCGCGCGCCAAGAAATGCTCCTGAAATCTAACAAAAGTGGAACAAGATAGGCGATCGCGCGCGGAGAGAGAAAGAGCGGGCGAGGCAAGAGGAAGAGGAAGGTAAGGAGGGAGAAAGGCAGAAAGGAAAGAAACAGCTACACCGAACCGGCTTATAATCGTATAGCGTGACGGCCGTGCACGCGACTACGTAATCGCCCGAACAAACGACGCGCGGCGCGGCGCGGCGCGTCGAGCCACGCAGAAGTTTGACGGCGATCGGCGGCTCGATTCCGCGGCTCATTGACAAAAGTTCGCGATCTCGCTAATCCCCCACACTCGTGCGTGCGTTCTTTTTTTTTCCCGTGATCGTTCCGCGCCATTCGCGCACAAAGGCGAGAGCCGCCTCGCCCTCGTCACCGGCGCCGTTTCCTCTTTCCGGCTGTTGCCCTTCTGTCAGTCGTTTATATTCGCCAGGTGATCAAAGGGATTCCTTAATAAGACCCGCACACAGCCGCGGGCTCACCCTCCGCCGTCGCCCTCTCCGCCACCCGTCAGCCCATGCGCTTAGAAAGCAAACGCACTTTGTGTGTCGCACGCGTGTGCGTTCGGTGCGCACTCGATGGCGCGACGCGATGGCTAAAAGACGAAGCTTCTAATCCGGTGAGAAGCTACATCGCCTTCTTCGCTTTGCAAGGAGGGAGCTCTTTTTCCCTCGCGGGAAAGAGGAAGACCGCTAACTCGACCATCGATCGCGCGTGCGCGCGCGCGCGAATTTCCTCTAACGAGGTCCGTTTGATGAACCGTTCGCGCTCCAATCGTTTCTCGCCGCCATTATCGCCGCGTCATTAATTAACCGCTCAATTAATCGCCAATTAATAACTCATTAGCCCGTTCTCTCATGAGCGTCGCGCGCTTTGTTCGATTCCCAAGGCGGGAACGGCCGTCTGGAGTCTCGCGACGACCCCGGGGAGTCCCCGGCGCTCTGAGCGGCTGAGGGACGCGGGGGAAATGTGAGAGACTTGGCAGTGAGTGAACTTAGCGGACTCACATTCGAGAGTAATCGAAGGCGTAAGATTGCATTTTGTAGAAATTGTCGATCGGTCGGTTCGCTTGTCGCTTGCTTTGTAAGAGTCGTCGTTGATTGTGTAGAAAAAAATTAAAAAAATTCTTTTTTTTTATTTGTCACTATTTTTACACTTGGATTACATCTTTTATTTTTATAACGATGTGTTCACTTTTCACTTATATATAATATAACTTCACTTATAACTTATGCTCTACGCGCTCGAACAGCAGTCTTACTCCCTTATCAATATTGATGAAAAAGCTGATCAATATTGATGAAAAATCGTGCTGTGTGTCCTATATAAAATATTGAGTCCTATATAAAATATTGGGATTTACTGGATTTAGGAAAAACCTATTAATCATCTTAGTATCTATCGGAGCTTATTGTTTGACTTTCCCAGGTATACGTATCCCAGGTATCTTTTCCTAAGGTTAAGTGGACGAAAGCCTAAGTGCGATGTGGCAATGAATTCTATCGCTAAGACAAATATAAGAAAATCCTAATCGGAGTGACTCTTGAATCATAGGTGTATACTTTGAATTTATCCATTTGATATACCTAAAGTGAGTAACGTTTACAGTTCGGTTCGTTCCATCGATCTCGCCATTTTGCATGGGTTGTTAGTTGCTCAAAGACTGTTAGGGCTATCCTCATGAAGCATAAAGCCTCGATAAGGCTGAAAATAGGATGCCCCAAAAAGGGTTGTCTCATTATTACCGCATCAAGTACTGAAGTGGATTTTTTAAGGATATCTTAGATTTCAGAAATAAGGCTTTGATAGGGAAAGCTGACAAGGGCCTTAAAAGGATTTTTTAAGGATGCTTTAGATATACAAAATCAAGTTCTGTTGTAGAAAATTAATAAGATTTGAAGCGTGTAATAAAATTATAGTCATCGTTTATTAGTATCGTTTTAGTAAATATACTCTATCTGGTTCTTCTAAAGATTTTTTAATTATACCACAATTAAAAACAAATTTTATTAGTTTTATTAGTTGTCATATTCATTACTCTCTTCCAAGGATTTTTCTAATATTGCCTTTAGTTTGAAATACAGCAAACTTTAATAAAAACGGTAGCAGGATTTTTATGTGTAACGAATGCTATATTTTATTGTAAAGTATGCTATATTTTTAAAATAAAAATTCTTGTTGTATACTAACAAAGTTATAAAGAAATAAAAAAATTACAGTTTAAATTTCTTGGAATGAAGAGAACGAATATTTTCACTCAAGCAATAATAAAAATATTTCCTTATAAAGCCCTATTAATATTGCCTTATGATTATTAATATTACCTGTTGATATTGCCTTATGGTCTTTATAATATTGCCTTATACCCGTTAAACTATTTGTTACACATCTTATATACTTCTTGTCTTTCTATCCCTACTAGGGCCCGATTAATGTTAGAAAAGAATAATCAGGCCTTTATTACCAGAGCCCTGTTAATTTTTCTATTTGGGTGATGCAAAACGACAAATCAGACATCGCTGACGCACAAAATGTATTTCCAAATTTGCTGTGGGACATGTGCGAGCCAACGGGGAAGCGAAATGGTGAAATTTTACCGCTTCTCCCTGTTTCTGTCACGGCTTTTTTTCGAGCCAATCTTTGTGTACCTCATTGAATTAAAAGTTCATTTCTCTTTCTTTCTGCGCAGGGACGAACTTTTTATTCCCGAGATAAGCAGAAGATGATATTTTGCCATACGCGAGATATATGACTCGACTAATTAATTAATGTAATTACGAATTTCCGTACTCGAGAGTGTAGTAAATGAATAGAATTTTCTCAGCTCGACTCTCGTTATCGTTCGCCGGAGCTCTCGCAGCATATGCGTGAGACCGCGCGAACTTTTATTTCTCTTCTCTCTCTCTCTCTCTCTCTCTCTCTCTCTCTCTCTCTCTCTCTCTCTCTCTCTCTCTCTCTTTCTTTCTCTCTCTAAGAATGAAAATTGTTAAAGTTTCCGCGAATACGTAAAATACGCCCGCGTTCTCGCGAGTAACGCGCGGCGCGGCCATTCCTGCGTCAAAAAAGTTCTTATGATAATCGAGAGGAAAAGTTTCGTGTTTTCTCTCTTCCTCTCTCTTTCCCCCGACGTCAAATGGCTCAACCTCGCAGTGATCAGCTTCGAGAGTTCCGCGCGCGTCGAACAACTTTTGCATTTCAATTGCGAAATGCGCGAAACCTACTCTGCACTCTGTACTGATCATATATTTGTGCTTTCTGTTTCAGATCTCCTCGATTACCAGCTTCTGCCGGGTGAGTGTGTGATTTTTATTACATTGCTATTATTAACCGACCGTGCCTCCCTTCATCCATCCCTCGTCGCCAGCGATGCGTTCGCCAGTTTATTTTGCAAAACGACGACATACAACGCTGCCGCGCGTGCGACAGAGAAAGAGGGAGAGGCAGAGGGAAAGGGAGAGAGAGAGAGAGAGAGAGAGAGAGAGAGAGAGCGCAGCAGAGGATACATCGCGGTTGCGTTTCGGTTCGATTTGCAATTTCAGTTAATTACGAGTCTCCTCGTCGTGAGGGGGGAGTGAGTACCCGCGCGGGTAATTGTTTGGCGCTTGTTCGCGCAGATTTTACATATCCAGCCCCGGCGCAAGTTCGTCTTTTCCCCCGCTCTTCCCTCTCCCGCCCCCTTCCCGCGCCCGTTTTTCCTTGCTCAATTCATCGGTGATTCTCGTCGTGGAGTTGCCGGGGATGCGTATTTCGAGCACTTCGAGCGTCGTGTTTCGCTTCGCTCCTCTCGAATCGACGGTTTTTCGCTCCCCCTCTCTCTCCCTTACCCTCCTCTGTCGAAACTTCTGCCCCGCAGGCGCCGCGGCGAATCTCGCGAGGATTCAAAACCGCCGCCCCCCTCCTCCGTTGCTTGCAGGAACCGAGACGCTTTGTGTGCTGTAGAGAGAGAGAGAGAAAGAAAGAGGGGGGGAGGAAGGCCGAGAATCAAGGAAGGAGGAAGACAGAGAAGGAAAGATAGAGAGACAGAAGGAAAAGGAAGGACAGGGAAAAGGAGAGAATAGTTAGTTGAGAGAGAAGAAGAAGAGATATAGGAGAGAAAGGGAGAGACATAGCGGGCATAACAACTTTGAAGGAAAACATGCGAGAGATATCGAACGGTGATCATCACTGTATTGTATGACCTCGCAGAGTTTCTAAACATATATATAGGGTGTCCGCGATTTTTTGGAAACGAGAAATTATGAAGATTGATCAGATCAAACTGAGAAGAAAAGTCATGTACTATTTTGCAAAAATCGCAATAGTTATTAGTATTATTGATTGAAAACGACCACTTCTAGAGGCTCTTTTAATTAACAACTTGAAAATTTGCGTACTTATTTACAAAATGGTAAAAGACTTCAAAATGATCTAATTTATTATGTTGGTGCAAAAATAATTACGGTTTTTCGTATCGAGTATATAAAGACGCATATATCAATTAAAAATGATATTTATTAATCGAAATAAAGACCAAAATATAGATAAAAGATTTTCAAGTCAGTGCCTCACACTGTAAGAAATGATATGTTAAATTTAACATATTTCATGTGTTTCAAATCATCCACTCTCATTTATGTGTTAATTTAACATACAGCAAATATGTTAAAAAGTAACACACATAATATGTAAAAAATTAACACAAAAATTTAACATTTGAATACCGTCAAGAATCACACTTTGTGTTAAATTGACATACAATGAATGTTACTTCAACATTTGGGAAAAGTAATGATTCTTCATTACATTAAATCTATTTCATTTCATTAAATCTATGATTTCATGAAATGAAAATGTTAGATTGACATAATCTATGTGTTAAATTAAAATTCCAACCTTCGCAAACCAGAAATGTTAACATTATACATTTAACACATGATAACTATTATAATGAGGAAAATAACACATTTTAGGTGCTGACTTCAACATATAAAATATGTCGTAGCAAGAATTCATGCATTTACATATAAATTGTGTTATTTTAATACTTGGAAACGTCATTTTAACACTTGAAAATAGATAATCTCAATTTAACACAAGAAAGTCTAGGTAACACAACAACGATATGTTAAATTAACACACGATTGTGTAGAAAATTTAACACAAAACTTTCTACACACAAATAATTTTAACAAAAGTACGAAATGTTTTTAACTGTGCATGAATTAAAAGAGCTTTTAGATTTGGTCATTTTCAATCATTAATAACTTAATAATTATTGCGATTTTTACAGAATAGCTTTTCTTCTCACTTTGATTTAATTAATCTTCTAATTTTTCGTTTCCAAAAGATCTCGGGCACCCTATATATATATATACACATATATATATATATCTGTCGCTTTGTTCTCGTATTAATTATAAGAGTCTTTTTTACATCTCGGCATCCTACACATCTTTACACTTCTCTCTCCATTCGAGTCTCTCCTCCTGTCCGCGCGGCCGCCGTGCGAACCTCGTCTCGCACGGAGCTCTTGGACGGAAGGGAGGAAGGTGGATCTCTCTCTCTCTCTCTCGCGTGTAAATTATGCGTGTAAATTTTGCATCGAAAGTATTTCTCCGCAGGGGCACGGCATACGGAAATAGGTTGACAAATGTTTTTGTATTATTGAGCCCGGGCCCAATGCCACACTAAGCTGCAAGACACGCCTCGAGCGTGGGGTTTTGCCTTATGTATGAATCATGTTACGCTCCGAGCGAGCGACGTTTCCTCCTTTTTCCTCCCCTACCCCGCCCGTCCCGCCCGCTGCTGAACGATAACGCAAAGATCGAATCTCCGATGAGATTGCAAGGAAGAAAGACAGAGAGAGAGAGAGAGAGAGAGAGAGAGAGGGAGCGACGTAGATTCGATCGACGCGACGGCAGCGCGCTCCGTGATCGCGATGAAGATCGCTCGTGCATTTCTCTCGACTGGATAAGTCCTCCGCGATGCTCCGCAGGACAAAACGAAAGGCGAGTGACGGCAGGAAGAAGAAGAACAAGAGCTACGACGCGGCCGCGAATGCACGCGGCTGCGAGCGCGAGGCTAAAAGCGCGGCCGCATCGCGCGCCTCGCTGGGAGAGGGCGAGCGGTAAGCTTATAGCGGAATTAATTAGATCAGAATATAAGCGGCTTTCGTCTTTGTCATCGTGAAAGGAAGCGGCCGCGTTGAAGTGCACTTCCGGAAACGCGCCAAACGGTCTGTCTCGCTCGAATCCGACACGCGCGCGAGGGTGCTTCGAGAGAAACGATAGCTTTTTGCGGGGATCTCCTTTCTCGTTGACTCGGGAATTACGGGGAACGCTTTTGCATTCGTATGGAGGGAGCGACACAGTTAGAGAGAGAGAGAGAGGGGAAGAGAGAGAGAGAGAGAGAGAGAGAGAGAGAGAGAGAGAGGGAGGGAGACGGAAAAAAGGAAGAAAAATATCGTTGACGGTAACAACGTGTTGAAACCTGCCTGTCGGGGACGGGTCGTCGCTCGGCGTTCCGCGGTGTGAAAAAGTGGCTGGATGAATTTCATAAATTAGACACATGCATTACCGCGATTTCAGCGCGCGTCGCGCCCGACAAGCTTGTCAGTCGGAAATTAATTACCTCGCGTACGCCGCGGGTGAAATAACATTCCAATAAACGGCGGATTTCCCCCTCCCCCCCATCTCGGCCGCCGCGCCTTGAAGAAATATATCCTGGCGGGGCAGGAGGGGGGGGGGGCGAAGAGAAGAGGAGGGCGGAAAAAAGTTGCAGCTGATGCATCCCGCCTGCACTTGACTGCTTTCAGGCGGGGGAGCCGGAAAAAGATTCTGAAATGCAAATCGGCGCGAAACCGATCGATCGCATAATTTACGGCGCCGCGCGGCGCCGCCGACTGGAAATGCGTCGACGTTATCGCGCACTCTTCTTGCCGCGTAAACGTAAATTACTTCTTTCACTTACCGCTGCGGCAATTTCTCGTTAGTTAGCGAGCGTGCGGCGTGCCACGTGAGCGCGCGTGCGCGCGCACGGACTTTTTGTCGCTCATAATCAGGAAGAAATAAGTTTACGCAACGATACTCTTCACGAACGGAGGACGCGCTAACCGCGAATACTCTCGATAATTTAACGACTGCTTCGCTTCTACACGTCTCATTGGATCGCGGCCGATTTCTGGTCGATTCATCCTTCATTCAGGTCATGTTATGGAGTCACCAAGTTGGGAAGCTGGAAAAAGAAAAATAATTCAATAAAAGTTTAATTGGCGCTTCCGATTCTTTGATTTGTGGCATTTGGGTCGCATGCGAAAGCAAGGCTGGTTTTAGGGAACGTTGAGAATGTTATCCAGATTATTTGCACACGCCGTCATTTTCCAGTTTCGTGCTCTCGTCGGATAATACAGGGTATCCGGGATCTTTTGGAAACGAAAAATTGTGAAGATTAATCAGATCAAATTGGGAAGAAAAGTCATGCACCATTTTGCAAAAATCGCAATAGTTATTAAATTATTAATTAAATGAGCCTCTAGATGTGGTCATTTTCAATCATTAATAGCTTATTAACTATTGCGATTTTTGCAAAATGATACATGACCTTTCCTCTCAGTTTTATTTGATTAATTTTTACAATTTTTCGTTTTCAAAAGATCCCGGACACCCTATATAGAAGGCGTATAGAATGTACCGGGACGGCGAAACGTCTCGAAAACTAAGCATTTTTAGAATTTTTTCAATTTTTAGAATTTTTAGAATTTTTAGAAAAGAATGTGCAGACAAAAATTGTATGGTTTCAAAGGGGACATAAAACTATATAATTTTATTTACAGATGGCGCCACTTCCGAGATATTCGCTGATCATTACTTTTCTTAAATGGAAACCCCGACTTTTTTATTATATCATCTTCTTCTATTATATGTAATTCGAACAACTTTTGTCTGAAACATTTTTTTATTTGCTTAACATTTTTTGAGATATTTAAGGAAAACTTGATAACTTTTTCAATATTTAACTTACGATATCTCGCTAACTATTTATCGGGAGAAAAAGTGGTACTAGATTTTTTTATTCTATTTGGTTTCAAGAATATATTGTTATAATAGCGCCCTGAATTTTGTTAATTTGATTGTTAATTTGATTGTTAATTTGATGATTTTGAAATTCCCAAAGGTCGATAAGTTATCAATTAAAAGAGTCTCTAGATATGGTCATTTTCAATCATTAACTACTTAATAACTATTCCGATTTTTATTACTTGACTTTTCTTCCCAGTTTGATTTAATTAATCTTCACAATTTTTCCAAAAGATT